TATATATATATATATTATATATATATATATATATATATATATATATATATATATATATATATATATATATATATATATATATATATACATAAGACAAAGGAAAGACAGCTTAAAAAAAGATTTAAATGTGGACAGCTAACCGGAATTAAAAAGCAAAATCTTAGCAACGGAAGGAACGACCAACAATGATAGGGAATTATATGAAATTTAATTACGATTGAATACGAACCGTGAAATTACGTCTGCGTCTCGCATAATCGACGTCGTTATGAATATACAAGATTTGTTGTCCCTTTGCTTGCAAGATAGTATTAATTTCATTTTCCCACCGGATGAGACTGTGTAATTGTGATATTTCCTTCAATTGTGACCATTGTTGTTCACGACGTACTACAACTGAAAGCGCCCTTTCCCGAGCATAAAATTCCTGTATCTGGAAACAAAAAATGACGTTTATCAATGATCAAATAATTGCTGTATCTAAATCATACTTCAGCTATTAAAGCTATTAAAAAATCATCAGCTATTAAAAAAAAAAATCATACTTCAGCTATTATTAAAAAGCTTTTTTTTTCAAATTGCTAATTTCAGGCTTCCAAAATATCGGTTAATCATTACCCACCGCCTCGGACATATTCCCAAAGGTATTTCGAGCTTGCCACGAACTTCGCTTGTAAGGCCATCCAGCCCACTTGATGTAATAAAGCCACGTGCCATTCTAAAACAAACCAAAATCAACAGTGAAATACACTGATAATCAAGGATATGATTATGGCAGAAAATTTAAAGAAATAAGCAACTGCAAGTAATGAGTAGAAAATTTTAGAAAAAACCTGCAATTTTTTCCTAGCAAGGATACGTTCCACTTCATACATTCCATTCTCATCCATGCCAACATCTATCATTGGTTCCTGTTCATCATCAGAACTTTGTTCCTGTACTGCACGAGACGTTACCGATAATGACGAGCATTCTTCGGATGGCAGTGCGGAATTCTGAATCATACAGAAATAGGACCGTAAACATTCGCTAATTTGTCGTATAAAATATGAAAACTGAAGAACCGAAAGACAGCAGTTCGCAGGAAACGAACCAAATTGTGAGGATCCAACTCGTTGGTAGAAGTGACTTTGGATTTCACGTTCAAAAAATCCTTTTTAAATATATCCGGCGATGATAAACAATTCTGCCCATGCTTCCAAGAAATGAGATGATATAGCGGTGCTTCCCTCTCTCTGCAAAGTTGTAATGGTGACCTTTTTTGTCGCCTTTTCTGTACTGTTTGCGTGGATTTCATAAGTGTTTGTTCACCTCGCGTAATGCTTAACGGCGAAGGTCCCTTCATGGGCAAACATTCTTGCACCGCTTTAAGGACAGTTTTATTGCAATCATTCTCATCAACAATGAATCCATGATTCTGATCTAAATCCGATCCACTAATTATTGCTGATTTCAAATGTTGCCCGTAATCGCTTTGCTCGACAAATTTGAATTTTCGCCTTTCTTTGATTGCCCTGGATTTCATTAAATCTTCCAACACAATAGTAAAATCCTTGATTCCGAACCTTACTTCAAAGCTTTCAGCACAATTATCTTCTCGAACTGATGATTTTGACCGTGGATGGGTTTGAACCCATGTGTGCCTACGATCTGAGGCAGCTGCATTACTAACTGTTAATGTATTTATAGGCGACATCTGTCGTGTTCGTGAATAATGACGGAAGCAATGCGCATTGTTTTCTGCTCCTTCTAATCTTTGATAAGCTCTCTGCAAGAACTTTCCATCATTCTGACATGATATAATGGCACAAACCTGATTTACATCTGAGGATCCGGTGAACCCATGAGAAGTAACTCTCATCTTGTAAATATGAATAAGTAAATTAAATCAAAAGTCCAAGTGGAATTAAACTGAAGAAAAAATTAAACTTTTTCCCAAACCAACCTCGAGTGGAAATTGGCGCAATTAAGAAGTAGTTTTTCTTAAATCGAGGAATTAAATAGAACGATGAAAATCAGCTATTTACAATCAGCTAGCAAAAGTTTGACTAATCAATTACCATTTTTCTGGTGTTTCTTTGAGAATCAACTGCTCTACCGCAAGAGTGCTTCAAATTTTCAGATGTGTGTTTATTCCCCATTGCTTTTTCTTCGCTAAAAATCAAATATTTCTATAAATAGAATACAGAGAATCAGGCGAAATCGGGATAATTATGACCAGTTCTAATGAACAAATAATGAAATGAACTACCACGTATGAACTAATTAAAACTCTTCCCCACCAATAGCAGTAAGCAATGATAAGAATAGGAAATTCGAGAAAAAATGTAGCATTGAATTTTCGGAAAGAGGAAAAAACATGCATCAATTTTTATCCTATTAATTAATCATCAATATGGCCAGTCAATATAGGACACAAGAAGTTGGTTATTTTTGATGAGTTTCAATGTTGTAAATGTTTAGTTCTAAAGATCAAGCGAACACCTGGATGCAAATATTGATGTATAACTCGACATGCGATTATCCATTTCAGTTACTTAATAATTTTCAGATCAATCAATTTGTATTTCTTTTTTCTCTATGAATAAACTATTCTTACTATGCATACAAACAGAAATTAAAAATGGAATGAAAAATGAGATATAAAGGAGTATTCCTAATGTTGTGAAATTAAATATTGATATAATTAATGCACAATATGAATATTTTATTTTAGAGATAATTTCATAGGAGTATTGATATTTTATGATTAACAAAGACCAAAATATCTATAGTCTTCCAAATGGCCAAACTTGTACCAATTTAAGATGAAAGTAGATAGGTCCTAATATGGATCCTACAAGCCAAAGATTTTAAAGGCAAAGAAATGTAATTATTTTAGCTTATTGGATGGTTAAATTACCTGTTTTTTTTTACGTAACGGTTCAATAAATACCAACCTGAAGTAAATGTACTAATCGAAATCTATAAAAAACGGCTTGAAACAGGTTGACGTTGATTTATTAATCGTTAGCAACATTCTGTTTAACAATGCATTCATTGTAAAAAAAGAGAGGATGAAATTAGAGACAAAAAAGTAAGCAAACTTAATGCTATATTTTAAGATATTATCAAGACAAAAGTTAAAGTAATACTGTTTCGCAAACAATAGCAGTCATAAAAAGATCATATAGAAGGCTTAATTCAAAATGGCTCAATGACCGGATGATTAGAGATTGGTAATTGTGTTCAGCGTAGCAGTTGGTTTCCTGACATACAATAAATTAAGGAAAGTCTCACATTAATAAACATTTTGTAACTTTTACGACCTTTCACTGACATACTGAATACGTTTCAACATTATATATTAGCCTATTTTACTGCACCTAGGCATTGTATGGTGGGTGCTAAAAGATTTACAAGTGAAAAAGCAAAAAGAGAATAAAAGGAATGAAGGAAACAGAAGGTGAATGAGAGATAAAATGGTCCAACTACATATGCAGTAGTGGTACTTATAACCAGTTTGCAGCTCAGTATTGAACAATCCGAACTATTCTTGACCTTTGAATAACCCTAATGACGTCAGCCTATAAAGATATCATAACCAAAACGTAACTAACTTTTTCTCCCTCCGAGAGTAATACAAGAAAGGAAAGAAGAATTCGTTTCTTTTTTCTGAGATCTTTATTTGTTGCAATATTAGAAGAGTGTGAAATGTGTAGGAGTTCCGAGTTTTTGGAGTTTTTTGCGCGGGAGTTTTGAATTTTTGGAATTTTTTGCGTGGGAGTTCTGAATTTTTGGAATTTTTCCGCGTGGGAGTTTCCGCTTTTTTTCCCTTACATAGCTCAAGAAAAAGATAAAGAATTCCGCTCTCCCTTCTCACATAACTCTCAAATTCAGAATCCCCCACGCACGTTACACACCTCTAAGAACTTGGAAAAATACGTATTTAAGAAAGACCCGCCTGAATCGCTTTGAAAATAACATCCCACGCTTGATTGAGCTCCCTTGCCATACTAATGATTTTCAGTTGATGTAAAATAAGCCAAGTATCGAGACAGAATTTTGCTAAGTAGATCTTACCTAATTATTTGGGATAATTAGTTTGGCTCGTAAACTTTGTATAATTTAAGGATTGTTAAGGCCAGCCAAGTTTATGGTTCATTTAGAGTAACAGATTGCTTATCTCCAAAGATTGGACTGCTCCTGTAGTATACGTTTCATTGATTTTTTTAATCAAAAAAATTTTCAAGACCAAAAAAAATAGCAAAATTTTGCGTAAAAATTAAAGAAAAATTAAAATCAATTACATGCTTCCATCTTGCATAATTACCATTATCAATATGCATGCATTTTGCATGATAATTACCGCTAATATGCATGCAGTTACTACTGATATGCCTGCATTTGCATGATTATTACTACTGATATGCTTGCATTTGCGTGATCATCATTACTGATACACTTGCATTTCGCATTATTATCAGTATTGATATGCTTGCATTTCGTATAATTATTACCACTGATATCCTTGCAGTTTGCATGACTATCACTACTGACATGATATCATAATTATCATTACTTCACGTTTATTCGCGATATTGACTACTTATTACTTTACTTGTTTACGTTTTCTTGTCATTAACTCATCCTAACCTTTTCTTTTTTTTTTATCTTATCATTAACACACAAACTGTAAAAACATATTGTTGATAAGATTCTGGATTATATCCTTTGTCAAAGTTTATCTCTGATTCACTTCACTATTGACTGATAATACTTGTTGAGTATAACGTTTTCACATAAGAAATAACATGAAAATATAAATGTTCCAGTTTAAAAAAAAAAATGAATCATTTGTCCAACAATTATTTCTTAAATTGATGGTCAAATTTGTTGAAAATTCTTTGTTTTTTTTTTTTTTTTTTTTGTTGTACAACAAGAGGTTTGCACGTCTAAGCAGTGCAATTAGAACTGGTAAAATAATTGGAAGAGTTAGAATTGGATAAACAATATCCGAATGGTAGGTTTTGACAGCATTCCTTGTTTGAACATGTCCCAAAAATACTTTTAGTTTCATTCCATAAAGTGAATAGTTTTACTTCTACCATCCATCGATAAGTTATTGAAATAATTGTAATGTATAATGATATGATTACAATCAGAAATGAAAATTTTGAAATTCATCAAATTTAAAAAATTATTTTTCAAGATTACTATTTGGTAGTGCTGTAAAAAATTGTCAACAAATTGATGAAAATACACTGCAAACGTTCATTTTATAATTCTTTGAAACTTTTTTTTCAGCTTTCATTTACATTTCCATTTTCTTTTATAAATATTATTTTATAATTTTATAATATTTTTGAATAATTATATTATACCATATCTTCTCAAATTCCAAAAAATGTTTACGTTTGTGTTGGCTTATATAAGAAATGGAATTAATTGTAGAACAAGCGACAGCAAAACGAAATTTGTTAAAACTAAGTAATCCATCTTCTCAAAGAGTAATTAATTAACATTGATAAATGTGATTATCAATGCTGATTAAATAAAAAAAAACGTTTTTCCTGAAAATAAAAAACAAAAAAAAAACTAAAGTTTTT